CCCCCCAATCCCGTCCACTAAATAAAACAAACAATCTAAAATCCGATAATGGACACTGATGAATTGTATTTCCAAACAATAGAATAAAGCAAAAATGCTGAAGAAAGGCTTAAAACAGCATCAATTAATATAGCAGTCAGTCCTCGAGCGACATGCCTCAGAATCCACCAATAAATCATCTTTACAAATTCAGGTTTTGGAGCTGATGTCAGCTTTTTCAAGGGATGAATATTTCATGTAAAAATATCGAACCAAAATGTATGACAATAAACCCGCTAAAATATAAATACTCTCCAAATAATTTGGTGGAGAATTCCTGCCTTTATTATCTCGGTGGCTTGTGTGTTGCAGACCTTCCGGATGGTTTTCCGCAAAATGACGAATAAACCAAGGGAGTTATAGATACACACACATAATATTATTGTAAGGTCCTTGGAATAAACGAAAAGTGGGAATAGGGGCTTACCTCATCATTGATGCCGATCGTTTCCCCAGTCCGGTTTGCCCACCAAACCATGCAGTAGGAAAAGCCACCTATCCACAAAATACTGCCGATAAATGTGACGGGGAAATATTTGCGACGTTCCTGGAGATAAAAGAAAAGAAGAGAAAAGACAATTAAAGAAAGGTCGGATATGATTGTAAAATTTTTCAACGTTTGTAAATGATTGTTTATGATTGTAAATGTTTGTACCTAATTGTAAGAAGATTGTGAATGTTTGAATAAGTTTATAACGTTTGAAAGTGTTTGTACATGGTAGTGGTTAGATTGTAATAAGATTGTAAATGTTATTACGAGATGAAAATGTTTGTCAATGATTGTGATAAGATTTGGTTGTAAATAATATATGTAATACGACTGTAGATATTTGTAAATGTTCGTAAACGTTTGTAACTGATTACATGTGATTTAGATTTTCATAATACCATTGCAGATGTCTTTGAATGATTGTGAAAGAATCTAAATGATTGTAAATGTTTGTCAGTGTTTGAAAATGTTTGCAAATGATTCTAACTGATTATAAATCATTGTAATTGTCTGTACGCTGTAAATGGATGCAAATAATGGCACAATGTTTTCTGCTCCCATCAACGCATCCTCCAGAGGCCAGGCTGCTCCGATCACTTTACTCTAGAATGGCAAAGTTCTATTTAAAAGCTCTGTACCCAGTTTTGATAAATTTGACGTTTAAAATTTGGAGTTTCACAACACCTCAAGCTTTTTCGAATGCAACTCTTTGAACATCTTGAAAACGGCTTAGAATAATCGTATGATTTTGATAGAGCAGACAGAAAATTTGGTTTCCGACCTCATGATCATTGTGGCTCAAAACAGTTTTTAAAAATTTCAGATAGATCTTTGTAATTCTGAGGTAGCGCAATGAAAATAAAAACCAACACTCGGAGGGGAGGAGGGGGGAGGGAGAGAGAGAGAGGCGGGAGGGAGAGA